ACATGAGAATAATAGACACACATATCTAAAACGTCTTTCTGATAACCTGAAGCTGTCATATTGCAGATGTTGGCGAGTGCAAATATATGATAGTGATAAATAATAAACGATAATTGATTAAATGATAATGATAATAATGATAATAATAATTAAAATAATAGTAATTATAATAATAACAACAACAATAACAAATATAGGATAATCCAAATTCAGATAACAGACATACACATACCTAAACCGAAGCTATCATACTGCAGACGTCAACGAGTGCAAATATGTGATCATCAACAGTAAAAATAAATAAATAAATAAATAGAAATAAAAAATGAATAATGTACATCCTAATGTGCAACACACATACCTACTCCTGATAAGCTAAACCTATTGCAGATGTCGACGAGTGCTAATATGTGATCATTAACAGTAAAAATAATAATGATAAAAACAAAAATGAATAATGCTCATCCGAATAATAAACACACATACCTAATCCTGATAAACTCTGATAAACAGGACCTATTACAGACGTCGACGAGTGCAAACATGTGACCATAAACAGTAAAAATAAATGAATAAATGAATAAATAGATAAAAATAAAAATTAGAAAAACAAACAAAAAATGAATAATGCACATCCGAATAATAAACACACATACCTAACCCCGATAAAATCTGATAAACCGGACCTTTCTTGCAGACGTCGACGAGTGCAAGAACGGAACCCACTCTTGCCATCACCACGCCCTTTGTACCAACACCGGCGGAGGTTACTTCTGCACCTGCTACCGAGGGTACACCGGCGACGGGTTCAACTGTACTGGTATGTCTGTGCTTTATTTCTTCTTTTGCTGATTGCAACGTTCGATTTTCGTCTTTTGAGAGAGGGGAGAGAGAGAGAGAGAGAGAGGGAGAGAGAGAGGAGAGAGAGAGGGAGAGGGAGGGAGGGAGAGGGAGGGAGGGAGAGGGAGGGAGGAGAGGGAGGGGGAGAGGGAGGAGGGAGAGGGAGAGGGAGAGGGAGAGGGAGAGGGAGAGGGAGAGGAGAGGGAGAGGGAGGAGAGGGAGAGAGAGGGAGAGGAGGGAGGGAGGGAGGGAGAGGAGGGAGGGAGGAGGGAGGGAGAGAGAGAGAGAGAGAGAGAGAAGAGAGAGAGAGAGAGAGAGAGAGAGAGAGAGAGAGAGAGAGAGAGAGAGTGTGTGTGGAGAGAGAGAGAGAGAGAGAAAGAAAGAGAAAGAGAAGAGAGAGAGAGAGAGATTTATTAATGATAATAGAAGGGTTGGTAGATTTAATTGTGGAAGAGATGTAGATATATGTAATGATATATTGCTATTACTGAAAATATCCTCTTGACTTGAGGTCCGAATTAATGCATTGTCTGCGTATGATATACATGTTTTAGGTTTGATTTTCTGGTTAAACTGTCATATTGTAAGAAATAATTAAGAAACCTATGGAGAAGAATGCAGGGAGAGAGGGAGGGAGAGGGAGACAGAGAGAGAAAGCGAGCGAGGGAGAAGAGCGAGGGGAGAGAGCGAGGGATAGAGAGAGAGAGAGAGAGAGAGAGAGAGAGAGAGAGAGAGAGAGAGAGAGAGAGAGAGAGAGAGAGAGAGAGAGAGAGAGAGAGAGAGAGAGAAAGAAACAAAAAGTGAGCAAGAAATAGCATTAAGAAAAAAAAAAAACATTATACTACCCCACGCCTTTTTAAACCAGCCCCAACCCCAACAAAACAAAACAGAACAAAAAGATCAAGCACACTAACCACTTGTAAGAGTTTCTAACCAACGTTACAACTCCCCACCCACTCCACCCCTCCCCCTCCACCTCGCCACCCCTCCACCTCGCCACCTCCTCCACCCCGCCACCCCCTCACCCCCTCCACCCCTCCACCTCTCCTTCCAGATCCACTCTGCGAAGAAGCTTTCTACACTACCATGGGCGAGTGCTTCCATTTCCTTGACGGCTACTACAGCTGGGACGAGGCGAGGGCAGCGTGCAAGAAACTGGGGTAAGGCTGGATAAGGATAAGGATAAGGTAGGGTAAGGCTGGGCTCGATTTCTGGTTTTGTGGCTCATTTTCTGGTTGGTTGTGCCTTGAGGGTGGGATTGCTGTTGGGTTGTTGGGGTTGTTTGTGGTTGTTTAGTAGTTGTTTGTGTGGTTGTTGGGTTGTTGGGGCTGTTTGTGTTTAGTAGTTGTTTGTTGTGTGGTAGTTGTTGGTTTTGGTTTCGTTTGTTGTTTGTTTGTGTTGTTGGTTGTGTGGTAGTTGTTTGTTTGGTTTCGTTTGTTGTTTGTTTTGTATTTTTTGTTGTTTGCTGATGTGTGCTTTACTGGGTTATGTTTTTTTATATATGTTATGGTGCTGCCACGATTTTCGTTTGTGTGTTATGTTCTGCTGCTGAGGTGTTATGGTTTTATGCCTTATGTTATACTCGTTTTTGAGCCATGTTATGCTACTGTGTGTTAGTGTTTGTTATGCTATAATATAGTGATTTATGCTACCTTTTGTTATCTTATTTTGTGCTAACTTTGTGTTGGGTTGTGCTATGCTCCTGCCTGTTATGTTATGCTATCTTATGTTATGCTCTCTGTGATAAATTATACTATACCTTTGTATTAAATTATGTTATGCTATGCTGCCATATATATATATATATATATATATATATATATATATATTATATATTATATATATATAGTATATAGTATATATTATTTTTCGTTATTTGATTCGGGCAATTGTTCTCTTTATGGCAGATATCTATTTAATGGATTATCATTTGAACAATTCTGTTATATTTTCTATTCTATTATAATTACTTTCTATCAGTCAACATACACCTCTTTGAAGATCATAAGTGATTGTCTAATAATTTCCATGTCTAATGATATATGAAATGAATTATATCATTCTAACAGCAATTATAATGCGTCTAATAGCGGTAATTGTGTTTAACAATTAATTTTTTCTAATGTTATTTTTATAATTATGTGTATTTTTCTAATATCAGTGGCATTTACTAATAATAGTTTATAATATATTTCTTTATTTAATTTTCAATATTTTTTCTCCTATTTGTAATTAGACTTTTAATAGCAATCAATCTTTTCTTAAAACAATTATATTTAGTTTTTTTCTAATAACAATTGCATTTTGTATATCATATTCTACCTCTTCTCCGTTTCTTTTCTATTCCATCATTATTTCTTCTATTCTTATTTTACCTTTTCTCTATTTCTTTCTTATTCTATCATTATTTCTTCTATTCATTTTACTTCTCCTTTTCTTTTCTATTGTATCATTATTTCTTCTATTCTTTATTTTGCTTCTCCATTTCTTTTCTATTGTATTATCATTTCTTCTATTTTTTTCTAATTCTATTTCTTTTCCATGCAGAGAGGAATCTGACCTCCCCGTGACCTTTGACCTCGCTCAGCCCAGGAACCTCACGACCTTCCGGAATTTCATGGAGGAGAGAGGTAAGGCCCCATTTCTCTTTACACTGGACGAAGGAAAACGAAAAAGGGTCATCCGAAATGATAGTTAAAATGGTAACAGTGTTTGTCGTACCGTTTTTATCAGCACCGTAAAATGATACGGAAATGGGTAATGGATATAATGATGATAGTGGTAATAAAGATAATTGTATCGGTAAAGGTGATGATAATGATAATAAAGCAAATTGTTTTGGTAAAGAGGGTGGTAATAGTGACCATAACAATGCCGATAAATTGATAACCAGGACAACAGTATCAACGACAGAATTAAGCACTTATCCTCTCCCTCCCTTCCTTTTCCTCCTCACTCTTCCTCTCTCTTCCCCACTCTATATTTCTCCTTCCCCCCTCCTCCCCTTCCTCTTCCCTCCTCCCCCTTCCTCCCTCCCCTCGTCTCCTATCCTTCTCCTCCTCCTCCTCTCCTCCCTCCTCACCTCCTCCTCCTCCTCCCTCCTCTCCCTCCTCCCCCTTCCCCTTCCCACCCCCATCCCACCTCCTCCTCCTCCTCCTCCTCCTCCCCCACCCTCTCCTCCACCCTATCCTCCTCCCGCAGCCCGGGCGTGGAGGAGCTAGCGTGGCTGGGCGCCGTCTTCCACACCCTCAAGTGGCGCTGGCGCTGAGCTCGAGCCTCGTCCAGCGAAAAACAACGACGAGCGAGGGGGGTGCGCCGCCTATGTGCCTTTCGCCGACAGTGCCAGGAGCATTCAGTGCCACTTCAGGATCCACGCCGTGTGCGAGCGGGTGCAGCAGTACTACTGAAGGTGGGGGGGGGGTGAGGAGGAGGTGGGGTAGTGAGGGTGGGGTGGGGTGAGGGAGGAGACGGGGGAGGGGTGGGTAGGGTGGGAGGCGGTGGAGGGGAGAGGGGGGAGGAGTGGGAGTGAGGAGGCGGGGAGGGGAAGGGTGGGGTGAGGAGACGGGGAAGGGGAGGGAGTGAGGGTGAAGTGGCGGGGTTAGGAGGTGGAGAGGTGGAGGCGGAGGGGGGAGGGGGTGGGGGGGTGGGCGTTCTTTGGGAATGTGTGCATATATGTGTGTGGGGGCATATGTTGGAATATACATTTGTTATATATGTATAGTCAGAGTAATTTTGTTTCTGTCTCTCTTTCTCACCAACTCTCTCTCTCTCTCTCTCTCTCTCTCTCTCTCTCTCTCTCTCTCTCTCTCTCTCTCTCTTCTCTCTCTCTCTCTCTCTCTCTCTCTCTCTCTCTCTCTCTCCTTCTCCCCCTTCTTTCACTCTCTTTTTCTGTTTCAGCGAAAGTATGGTAGCAGCTAGTGACGCAAAGAAGAGATAAAGACGGAATGAGATGAATGGAGAGGAAGAAAAAAACGAATGAGGAATTAGAGAAAGAACACAACAAAGTGAAAATAACCTCAAACAATAATAAAAACAAAAGAAAAAGAAGTAATGCGTTTTTTTTTATCCGAAACCATAGCACTTTAGCTATGAAAATATAACTGTAAAACCACTAAAACTTTATATTGCATCAAAGAAGGACAATGCAAAAAAGAAAGAAGTAAAAAAAATGAAAATAAATAAATAAAGTAGATAAAAAAAACAAGAGAACAAAAGATGAAAATTAAGAAAGTAGAACAACTTTATATTGCATCAAAGAAGGACAATGCAAAAAAGAAGTAAAAAAAATAATGAAAATAAATAAATAAAGTAGAACAACAAAAATGAAAGATAGAGGAAGAAAAAATAAGAACAAAAAATGAAAATAAATGAAGAAAGTGGAACAGGAAAAATGAAAGATACAAAAGCAAGAGAGCAAAAGATAAAAGTGAATAAATGAAGAAAGTAGAACAGCAAAAATAAAAGATAGAAGAAGAAAAAAGAAAAAAAAAATTAAAATAAATAAATGAAAAAAGTAGAACAAAAATGAAAGACAGAATAAAACAAAAACAAAAAACAAGAGAACAAAAGATGAAAATGAATAAATTAAGAAAGTAGAAGAGCAGAACACAACCAATAAACATTAAATAGACAGCAATTTACGTTAAAAGCATAATGTCTTCAATTGCTGTCCGAGAAAATTGGCGATGATGGCTACTATTGCTGCGAAGATGAAGAAAGAAAAGAAGAAGAAGAAAGGAAAAAAGAAGGAAGAGAGAGGTTTAAAAAAAAGGAAGACAGAGAGAGAAAAGGCAAAAATAGGAAAGGAAGAGAAAATGAAAAAAAAAAAAAAAAAAAAAAGGAAGGAGAGAAAAAGTTAAAATACAACAGAGAAAAAGGCAATAGAATTGAGAAACGGCGATTAAAAGAACACATGAGAGCAAACGAGCTGAGAAAAAAAAAAAGAAAAAAAAAGAGAAAGAAAGAAAAAACGTAAGGGTAACGATAACTCTAATCTTAGAAAGACAGAAAAAATTCATGAGAAATGAGATGTTTCCATGATGCAATGAATGTAAACATGCAATTTACGTGTTGCATGATTCATCTGCCTCTGAATCAAGTGTTGTGCAACTTGAATAAGAACTCTTTCTCTCCCTCTATCCTTTTATCAAAACTCCCTTCCTCTCCTTTTATTTCCATTTCTCGCTCACTGTTTGTCTATCTATCTATCTTTATCTATCTCGATTTTGGTCTGTTTGTCTGTCGTATTTCTCTCTCTTTCTCTTTTCTTTATCCTTCTTCTCTTTTACTCTCTTTTGTCTTTCGGTGTGTTCTCCGTAACTTCTTTTGGTAAAAAAGGATCTCTCTCTCTCTCTCTCTCTCTCTCTCTCTCTCTCTCTCTCTCTCTCTCTCTCTCTCTCTCTCTCTCTCCTCTCTCTCTCATCTCTCTCTCTCTCTCTCTCTCTCCCATATATATACCTATTCCTCTCTCAACTCAACACAAATTTATTCAATTCTTAACTACATTTTGAGCTACGGAATAAATTTGTACACTCAGCCACTCGTTTTTCTGCCCCCCCCCCCCCGCCTTCTAAAAAAAGAGAGAAAATAATAATGATAAGAATAAGAAACATAAATAATACTAACTCAATTTCATTTAACGCAAATATTCCTAGGCCTATCAAAGCGTTACGTCTCTCTCTCTCTCTCTCCTCTCCTCCTCCCTCCTCTCCCTCTCTCTCCCTCTCTCTCTCTCTCTCTCTCTCCTCTCCCGCCTTCGCCTTCGGAAGGAAATTTGAAGTTCCTCTCTAACAGCTAACAAGGAGGCAGTTTCGGGTTTATTGGGCTGTTTCGAACGAGGTCAAAGGTTCACGATGGCCCAGCAAATCACCCTCAACGCTTGGAATCTTCCCGAATGTCGTTCATAGGGTTCATACATGACCTCGGGTTGCAGTAAACCCAGGTCAAGGAGGGGAATTGTCGGATAATGATGGAGAGAATATTGGTGAATGGTTGTGAAAGCACAAAGGATAATTGACAGCTATGAAAGTAATGATATTTATGATCATCTTGATAAAGATAAGGTGGTGAGTAATTGCACTGGTAATGATGATGGTGATAATGAACACCATTAAGCATAATGCTTTTACTGATGATTAAGGTACATATGATATATCGAACATATAAAAGCACATATATTGATTATCAATATACATATAAGAAATTCATAAGTACACATATGTATCAAAATACCTTACCGATGCTATTTATAATCTAGATGATCATGAAATTAAGTAAATGTGCTAGTAAAGATAAGAGTGAAGTTATATAATGGACAAATTATGTACCAGAAAGGTTTTAATCCGTGAAGCTATTTCATTCATATATTCTATATAATCTTTCTATGCTTTCCCAGCAGATAAAAATATGAACACAGGCTTCCTACCACCTCTGCCTTCCTTTAAGCAAAATGTACTCGCTGTGTGAATATCACGCATACTATAACTGCGCGGCCAAACATCGTGTAAATGGTTAATGGTATAAACAAATAAATAAATAAATAAATCAAAGGTCATCTAACACTATAAATGTGTGAACTCATAAAAGGTCGGCTAACGTGGATTCGCCGACACACTGCATATCTCTCGTTGTGTAGAGTCAATAGTGGCCAGGTAAAAAATAACACGTGAATATTAACGTGCCCTGGATAAGCAGTGCAGTGAAAAGGCCTTCGGTAATATTCGTGTGTTTTCTTGTTCTTCTCTTCGTTTTTACTTATCACTATATCTCTGGGTGTTGTATTTAAGGAGATTATTGATAAAAGATTTATAATAAGGATAATGAGTAGTGCTAATGATTAATGGGTGTTGTTGATGATAAAGATAAACTAGTAAAAATGGATAGTGATAACAGCAATGATAGCAATGATGGTAAGAATGAGAATACCGTTGCTAACAATAACGGCAAAATTAATTGATAAGAAATGATAATGCTAATGATGATCATACTAGTACCACTACTACTACCACAGAAAATAATAATAATGATAACATAAGCAATAACAACACTATCAACAACAATAATAAACAACTACATATAAAAATTCTCCTGAATCGAAACCCACGCATATATCACCGCAGTACAAACACCTTATTTTGACAGAGCCAGGCGCCAGGCGACAAATAACACAGCAGTACAAGGTCAAGAGTTAATTATATTGGTTTCAGAAAAGCTGAAGAAAAAAATTATATGCTGGTGGAATGTATCGTATTTTCCTGGCCTCTCCAATGAGCTTCTAATATGAAATACTTTTTTCGTAGAATTTTGGTGAAGGAAAGATTGGTCTGTACATTTTTTTGTTATCTTCTGCGAACTTCTTAATCTAGGCCAAGATTTGTGTGCAGGCTTCTTCGTATTTTTTTGTGTTTTGTGGTTACGAGAGAACCTGTAACATTACTAAGTTACATATACATACAAGGAAGAGAGAAGACAAGGAAACGACTTTTCGCTTTACTGCTTATCAGAACTCGCCGGTTGTGGTCGCGTCTTGTTGTAGTCGGAGAGTCAACAAACAGTTGTGTTAGATTTAAGGCTACACAGGTTTTTGTTATGAGTGTGTGTATGTTTTATGTGTGTGCGTTGAAACCATACATACATACATCCATATATATATACATATACATACACATATATGTACGTATGCGTGTGTGTGTGTGTGTGTGTGATGGTGTGTGTGTGTCCGTGTGTATGTGTGTGTGTGTGTGTGTGTGTGTGTGTGTGTGTGTGTGTGTGTGTGTGTGTGTGTGTGTGTGCGTGTGCGTGTGTGTGTGTGTGTGTGTGTGTGTGTGTGTGTGTGTGTGTGTGTGCGTGTGCGTGTGCGTGTGCGTGTGCGTGTGCATGTGTGGTGTGTGCAAATAAGTTATCAAGCTCCGTAACCTCTAAAACGGAATGCAAAATCGGGAACAGCGTCGAACCGAGTGACGAATAACTCCCCTAATCCTTTCTCGGGAATATGTAAAAGGAGCCAGCTCTCTCGAACCCGACATCGGATACGGAGCGGGTTGCGTCGGGGGGGGGGGGGGGGGGGTGAGAAATCCACCTGCTAAGCCAAGAGGGGTAATTATATGAGCACAGGCAAGGGACCGAACGCATACAGGGCTTGCTAATTACACTACGTACTATGTAATACTTATCGTTCCTTTTTCTCTTTCTTTCTGTCTTCGCACATACACTCTCTTTTCGTTTTTGTTTTTTTAACTCTTATCTCTCTCTTTCTTCGTCTCTCCGTTTTTCACTTCTATTTCATTCTCTCTCTTTCTCTATTCGGTCTTCACTGCTAAATCATTCTCTCTCTCTCTCTCTCTCTCTCTTTCTCTCTCTCTCTCTCTCTCTCTCACTTTCTCTCCATGTCTCTCTATCGCTCTTTCTTTCTCCATTTTCCACTCTTCCACTTTTTCTCACTCTCTCTCTCTCTCTCTCTCTTTTCACTCCTCCATTTATCTTCCTTTCCGTCTGCCTCTCCCTCCGCCAAAAGCATTTACACAATCAACATGGAAACGTTATATAAGATGCCTCACATCATTTCCCAACACGCCCTACCACTTGGCACTTACACTTTATAAATAAACATAACTAACTGACGACAACGCAAATGAACTTGACTGAATGGCCACTGCATAGAGCGAACGTCCAAGAGTCATAAATTTAACGAAGGAATTTATGGAAGAACATGGAATAGTAGGAAGGCGATGATGATCGAAGAAGCGAAGAAAGGAGAGGAAGGGGAAGAATGAGATGAAAAAGAAGGAAAGGAAGGAGGAAATAAGAAGAAAAAGAAGACGAAGAAGGAATAGGCGAAACAAAAAGAAAAATAAGAAAATGAAGAAGAATCAGAGGAAAATCAGAAGCAAGAGAAGTGCAATAACAAGAAAAGGAAGAAGAAGCAAAAGCAGGAAAAGAAGAAGGCTAGAATATCAAGAAAAGGAAATGGTATATAACCGAAAAAAAAAGAAAAAAGAACAAGAATAATGAAGGGGAGATAAGAAAGAAATGAGAACCTAGGAAGGGCAGGGGAGGGAGAGAAGGGAGAAGGGTAGGAAGGGAGGGAGGGAGGAAAGGGAGAGAAGAGAGGGGAGGAAAGGGTGGGAAGGGAGAAAGGAAGAGCAAGAAGGAAGGGGAGGAAAGGAGAGAAGGGAAGAGGGGAAGGGAGGGAGAAAAGGGAGAGAAGAGAAGGGAGAAAAGGGAGGGGAGAAAGGAAGAGCAAGAAGGAAGGGGAAGAAAGGAGAGAAAAGAGGGAGGATAGGACAGAAAGAAAGAGAGGAAAAGGAGAGAATGGAGAGAAGGTGGGAAAGAAAAAGAAGGAAAAGAGGAAAAGCCAAGAAGCAAAGAACGAAAGAGAAAGAAGAAAGTACCGGACGAAAAATAAGAGACAAAAAAAAAAAAAAACGAACGAAGGAGTGAAAAGGAGAGAAGGGAATGGAGGAAGGGAGATCGGGGCGAGGAGAGAAGGGAGAAGAAGGGTGGGAAAGGAGGAAGGGGAGGGGAGGAGAAGCAGACCCCAAGCCAACCCAAATACACAGGCGTTACTCAGTGTTAAGTCATCGTTGCGGGCGAGACGGAGAAGCTGCTGCAACTCGCCAGGGACCCGAAGGTAGGGCCACGGAGCTCGAGTGAATGCTGTGTCTGGTGCTAGAGGTTTTAACAGCTTTAGAGAGAGGGAAGGTCGTAGAAGATTAATGTCTCAGAAGATTGATAGCATAGAAAGAAGATTCGAAATGTTAGAGACAAAGAACGTAAAGAGTGGATAGATATAGACAGATAGATAGGAAATGTATATGCATCGTATATACACATATATGGGATCTATCTATGTTTGTATGTAAATGTATCTTTCTTTCTCTCTCTCTCTATGTCTTTATATATATATATATATATATATATATATATATATATATATATATATATATTATATATTAAAGTTATGTCAATGCATTTTTGGTTTCAAGAATTATCCGTTATTGTTGTGTTAATTAATTCTGTAGCAGCTAATTATTTTAATTCCAAATCAGTTGTGACTAATAATAATAATAATAATAATAATAATAAACGAATATATATATATATATATATATATATATATATATATATATATATATATATATATATATATATATATATATATACATATATACAGATAGAGATATTGATAAGTAGATAGACATATAGATAGATAAATCAATATAGGTAGATAATAAATATAGATAATAAATAAATATAGATAATACACATAGGTAGTTAAAATGTAATCCGATAAATAGACATGTATATATTGGCAGACACACACTTACATACATATTAAATTCTGTATACACACATTTACGTACAAGGAATGCAGTACACAGTCACTTGTTTACACCATTACCCAGACCAAACACGCACATAAAGCTTTTAAAATTGTTTATACGAGCGCGTTCACCCTTGTACAGTGACCTCCCCTCCCCCCCTCCCCCCCAGCGCCATGAAGGTCACCCTTGTGCAGGTTCTCGCTGTGACCTTGACCCTGCCTGGAGCGTCTCCGGACTGCGACCCATCCCTGCCTGCTGCCCTCTCAACGATGCGGTGCTGGCTGAGCTGAAGCGGTCGCAGGAGCAGTGCTTCGGTGAGGGAAGGGGTGTGGGTAGGGGTGTGTGTGTGGGTAGGGTGAGGGGTGAGGGTAGGGTGTGTGTTGGGGGGTGAGGTAGGGGTGTGTGTGGGGGGGTGGGTTGGGTGAGGTGTGTGTGTGGGGGGTTGGGGTGAGGGTAGGGGTGTGTGTGTGGGGGGGTGAGGTGGGTGTGTGGTGGGTGGGTGTAGGGGGGTGAGGGTAGGGGTATGTGTGTGGGGGGTGGGTGAGGGTAGGGTGTGGGGTGAGGGTAGGGGTTGGGGTGTTGGGGAGGGTGAGGGTTGGGGGGTGGGTAGGGGTGTTTGGGGGGGTGAGGGTGAGGGGGTGTGTGTGTGGGGGGGTGAGGCGGTGAGGGTGGGGTGAGGGAGGGTGGGTAGGGGTATGTGTGTGGGGGGGTGGGTGGGTAGGTGGTGTGTGTGTGGTGGGGGTGAGGGTGAGGGTGTGGGGAGAGGGTGGAGGGTGAGAGGGTAGGGTGGTGTGTGAGGGTGGGGGGTGAGGGTGGGTGAGGGTAGGGTGTGTGTAGGGGTGAGGTAGGGTATGTGTGTGGGGGTGATGGGGTTGGGGGGGTGAGGGTGTGTGTGTGGGGGTGGAGGGAGGTTGGGAGGTGTGGGGGGTGAGGGTAGGGGTGTGTGTGGTGGGGGTGAGGGTAAGGTGAGGGTGGGGGTGTGTGTGGGGGTGGGTAGGGGTGTGTTGGGGAGGGTAGAGGGTGTGGTAGTGTAGGGTGAGGGAAAGGAGGTGAAGGGTAGGGAGGTAGGTAGGGTAGGGTAAGAGTTGGGGTGAGGGTAGGGGTGTGTGTGGGTGAGGGTTGGCGTGAGGGTAGGGTTGTGGGGTGGCTATGGTGTGAGACTAGGGGTGTAGGGTGAGAGTAGGCGTGTGGGAAGGGGCGAGGGTAGGTGAAGGTAAGGTTGAGGGTTTGGGAAAGTGTGAGGTAAGGTGAGGGTAGGATGAGGGTGATGGGGTTGTGTGGGTGTGAGGGTTGGTGAGGGTGAGGTTAAAGGGATGGGCTGTGTGAGGAGGAAGGGAGTTTAGTGGGAGGGTGAGGGATGGGAGGGAGGTAGGAGGAGGGTTGGGATGGGTTTTAAGGATGAGGAGGATGGGAGAATGATGGAGTAAGTGAAGAAGTAAGGCTAGAAAGGGAGAGAGGGATAGGGTGAGGGAGGTGTGAGGTTAGTCACAGGAATAGTCTTTTGATGAAGGAGGGGGTTAGGGAGGAGGAAAGGGAGGGATAATGAGAGAGAGAGAGAGAGAGAGAGAGAGAGAGAGAGAGAGAGAGAGAGAGAGAGAGAGAGAGAGAGAGAGAGAGAGAGAGAGAGAGAGAGAGAGAGAGAGAAGAGAGAGAGAGAGAGAGAGAGAATAAGAGGGGTAGGGAGAATAGAAAACTGGCATGCGGGAAAAGAGTGGAATCTAGAGAGAGTGTGACATAACTCTGAAACATAAAATCATTCCATCAATAATTATAATTTTTCTTCCGCACGTTTCTTCCTTCTTTTAGAAAATGACAGCCATCTGACCAACATCTTCACTGCTATGCAAGATATGAAACGAGCAACGGAGACCATAGCTGAGCAGCTGGCGGGTGAGTCGAAGAGCAATGAAGAGCAAAAAAATAAATGAAGAGAGGGACAGATAGATTTTAAGAGAGAGAGAGAGAGAGAGAATGTGGGAAGGAGATAGAGAGAGAAAGAGATAGAGAGAGAGGAAAGTGGGAGGAGGGAAGGGAGGGAGGAGGGGAAGGGAGGGAGGAAGGGAGGGAGGGGGAAGGGAGGGAGGGAGGGAGGGAGAGGGAGGGAGGGAAGGAGAGGAAGAGGGAGGGAGAGGAGGGAGGGAGGGAGGGAGGGAGGGAGGAGAGAGAGGGAGAGGAGAGAGAGAGAGAGAGAGAGAGAGAGAGAGAGAGAGAGAGAGGAGAGAGAGAGAGAGAGAGAGAGAGAGAGGGAGGGAGGGAGGAGAGAGAGAGGGAGAGAGAGAGAGAGAGAGAGAGAGAGAGAGAGGAGAGAGAGAGAGAGAGAGAGAGAGAGAGAGAGAGAGAGAGAGAGAGAGAGAGAGAGAGAGAGAGAGAGAGAGAGGAGAGAGGGAGAGGGAGAGGGAGAGGGAGAGAGGAGAGGGAGACGAGGAGAGAGAGAGAGGAGAAGGGAGAGAGGAGATGAAGAGAGAGAGAGAGAGAGAGAGAGAGAGAGAGGGAGAGGGAAGAGAGAGAGAGAGAGAGAGGACGGGAGGGGAGAGAGGGATGAGGAGAGGGAGAGAGAGAGAAGGAGAGAGAGACGAGAGGGGAGAGAGAGTAAGAGGAGAGAGAGAGAGAGAGAGAGAGAGGGGAGAGAGAGAGAGAGAGAGAGAGAGAGAGAGAGAGAGAGAGAGAGAGAGAGAGAGAGAGAGAGAGAGAAATTCAGTCGCAGTTACTAATTTTACATATATACCAAATTAAGCCCATATCTAAAACGGACATAAATGAGACGTAATATAATACAAAGAATTAAAACAACGTTATATTTCAGCCATGTCTCAGAAGATTGATAGCATAGAGAGAAGAATCGAAATGTTAGAGACAAAGAACGTAAACCTTGCAGAAAATCTGACCATGATGATTACAGGTAAGTTATATTATTTTTCTTTTTTTACTTACTCATTTTTATTTATTTATTTTTCACGTATGTGTTAACTATTCATTCGTTTACATTTTGTTTTCTCTTTCTATTTTCCTGTCTCTTTCTGCCTGTTTTTGTTTCTCTCTCCCTCCCTTTCTTTCTGTTTGTCTTTGTCTCTGTCTGCCTTTCTCGTTCTTTACCTTCCTCTATTTCTCTCTCCCTCCCTTTCTTTCTCTGCATTACTTTCTGTTTATATTTGTCTCGCTCTTTACCTTCCTCTCTTTCTCTCTGTTTGTGTCATGTTCTCCCTTCCTCTCAATCTCTCTCTCTATTCCTCCTTCCCTTCCCCCCTCCCTCTCTCGGTTTTTTATTCATTATCTCCCTCTCCCTTCTCTTTTTCCCATCTGCATGATTCCCAGTTTGCCAGTCCTAGATTTCCCAGACAGACGTCAAACTTTCCCTAGATTAGTCACAATTTCCCTGAAACTGTACAAAACTGCCTCCATGTCTTCTTGTTCTTGTAAAAAGTTATTCCTTTCACAACTTACCTTAAAATACAAATAATTTATATTGTTCCTATAACGAAACTACCTGGGAATGCAGAAATGCACATAAGATTGCTCAGTTACGCATTCTTCTACAATGTATTGACTGTAATACCAGTCTTTGATAATATTTTTTCCATCTGAAATATACACTAGAAATATTTGCAATTCTCTGTCTATGTAATATCGCAAATCATCTTACATAGATGCTTGCAAACACATGTATCTAAACGTTGCCTGTTTAAGTCCATTTCATCTTTACGCTGAAGCTGTAGCCAAAACAACCAGCAAAAGTACAATCTATGCCTTAGTGCTCTATGCCTTCACTACATTCTAAGTAAATATAACAACGTGGAAGTTTCTTCAGACCTGGCAAAAGGCATTCTGCTCACGAGACGGGACTTTGTGGCGACCCGATCAGCTGATGTTTGTTTACATCACTCCTACTTCGCCCGACTCGATCAGCTGATAGTTTGTTTACATCACGTTTACTGCTTCTTTATAGATGGCGCTAGTGATAAAAGGCGGCTTGTTTGAAAAACAAACAAACGATGTTTTGAGAATATTTTTGATATCCAAATATATGTTAAATCAAGTTGAATTTATCTTTACACAAATACTCAAAGTAGTAGAGATAGTAGCATTCGTTTTTATCTTTATTATCATTATTGCTACTGCTGTTGTTGTTATTGATACAATTTTTAGTGTTGTTTATATTATCATTGTTGCGGCCGCCTCAGAACTCTTATGATTGTCAGTGGGGTGACTGATACAACTGCGTAGTCTTCGCTTATGATTCATTCAATAGCGGTCAAGCCTGTAATTCATCGGCAAGTTACATCTAATAAAATACTTCGTGAATACGATATCGGCAAAGAACATGATGTAACATTTATCTAATACAGAAATACACACAATATTCACAGATGCCGAATAACAGATCCTCGATCATATAAAGAGCCACCATCTCTTCCTTATGTAAGGTGGGAATAAGGGCGAATCCTGTTACACGACCCACCGCACAAACACGTCAGCTTTTATGGCCGAATTGGACCATGTGTTGACCCCGGTGTGGCACAAAAGATGAATGCGTGCCACACAGGTCTCTAAGTCGCTATGAACGATGAATATGTCATATACCAGTGCCTACATTATCAGGATGGCAATAGTTGTCTTATTATTATCATTACCATTATTATTATTATTATTATTATTACCATTGTTATTATAATTATCGTTGGCATCATCATCATCCTTATCATTATTATTATTATTAATAATATTATTATATTTTAATATTATTATCACCATTAATATTATTATTATTATTTCATTATCATCAGCATCATTGGTATTATCATTACCATTATCATTATTATTATTGTTATCATTGATAATATAATCATAATCAAATATAATTAATAATAATAATAATATACTTTTATTTATTGATAATAAATAATAATAATAATATAATAATAATAATAATTAATAATATAATATATTATTATTATTATACGATTATTATTATCATTATTATCATTATTATTATTATCATTAATATCATTATTATTGTTTTATTATAATCATTATTGATTTATTGTTCTTATTATCATTCTTATTATCATTATTAATCATTATTGTTATTTTACTATTATTTTTGTTATTTCATTATTATTATTGTGTTATTCTATTATCATTATTGTGTTATTCTATTATCATTATTGTGTTATTCTATTATTATTATTATTATTATTATTATGATTATATTTATGAATATTATTGTTTTTATTGTTATTATTTATCATTATCATTAATAGCATTATCCATCATTATTGTTATTTCATTATTATTATTGTTATTATTATTAACATTATTATTATCATCATCATTATCATTATTATTATTATTACTGTCATCATTATTTTCATCATTATTATCATTATGATGATGATAATGATGATGATGATCATCATCATTGTTATGACATATTATGATTAATATCATGATTATTATTATTATATTATTATATTATTATTATTATTATTATTATTAATATTATTATATTATCAATAATATTATTATTATTATCATCATATTATTATTATTATCATTATAATTATCATTATTATTATTATTATCATCATGATTATTATGATTATCATCATCACCATAATTAACATAATTGTTAATTATATTCATATCTATATTATCATCATTTCTTCCTAGCATATTTTTTTTATCTCTGATATTCTTACAGTTGCATATTTTACAATATTGCTTTCCCATATCTTTATTGTTATTTTCAGCTTTCTAGTGTCTTCCTAGTATTCGCTTTTGTTTAATGTTGACAGGAGCTTCTACGTGAATTACAATTGTGATTTTGTTCCATGCATCACAATTTCTAATTAGGATATGTAACCCTTTCATATCTTCAAGTTGAAGGGATTTTAATACGTGTAACAATTTCTATTACATTAGAATATGTAACACTGACTTCATATTTCGAAGTAGAATACAAGAAAATTATTCCAGAACAAAAGAGAGCAATTCAACATTTTCGTTGTCAGCATATTACGAAATTCAGCCTCGATTCAACTTGCCTGTAACGTGACCTCAGTGCCTGAAATTTGCCCTCGCCTGTCAACTGATCCTCCGCAGATGTCGACGAGTGCGCAGCTGGCTCCCACTACTGCCATCACAGCGCCACATGCAGTAACACCGCCGGCAGCTATGTGTGCGTTTGCAATGAAGGTTTCGAAGGAGACGGAGTGAGATGCTACGGTAACTATCCCCTTCTGTAAAAAAAAATCCATTTCGGTCTAACTATTTCTCTTGATGAATCTAATTCAATTTTCTTTTATGATGTGTATATATGTCAACGCGACGCCTCGAAGGGAGAGGACTATATGAGGTCTCACGTTTCAGAGACCGATGAGTGTGTTCTCGGGGCACACAACTGCGACGCAAATGCACTGTGTATCAACACGGTGGGGAGCTATAGGTGCGCCTGCAACCGCGGCTTTGTAGGGGACGGAAACAACTGCACAGGTGAGGTGACTGCTCTCAGGGGCTGCTTGGGTTTCGTAAGGAAAACACGCACAGAAACTCACGCACTCATGCACACACATACAAATACACACGCACGCACGTACATACACACGCGAGAGGTATTTAGATCATGTGATAATTTTTCTTGCTATCATGATGGTGATGGTGATGACTACGACGATTGTGATAATAATGATGGAGATGGTGATGATGCAGATGATTATCACTATCATTATCATCATCATTATCATCATTACTAGCATTGTTATCATCACCTCCATTGCACCGTCATGATAATCATCAACATCAGCATTAGAGCTTATCTCATGATCATCTGTATTTGATTTCATAAAGTATCTTCATTTTTTTCGTTATGAAATCTAATTCATTTTGTGATATCGCCTTTTAATGACAAAGAAATATATATGTAATGAATTGACAAGAATATATTCAATGTCTGTATGATGATGGTAATATGTAATGCTGATGGTCATTTAGTTTTTTTTATTCTTAAGATATTTAGATAAAAAAAAAAATTCTTATCTTCTCTTCTACAGACCTTTATCAAAATATATCGCATTAATCTATCAGTTTCTTTATTTTCATGTTTATATTTGCCCTTCTCTAGATATGAACAAAATATTTTTATTTTCATCCCATCAACTACAGTATCTAATTTATCTCCACACAATCAGTTTTAATTTCTTATGTCGGTTTGTTAACATTGTGCGCTCCCGACCCAATTGATATTCATTATACGAACATCTATATTCACAGAAATATATATATAGGTGTTTGTCTTTCTGATAGATATACATCTCTCTATCTATCTCTCCGGTAGATATGCATGTCTAGACTGATTGACATGTATTTATTTCTGTGTATATGCATGTTCGTTTAATAAATATTTATTGTGTCAAGCCTCGCAATATTCTAACTAATCTACGGATATTTTTATAATTTCTTTTCGATAAGTCTTTTTAATGATCTGTTTCTACAAATATGTTATCCCAACGTAAATACAAATATGATATCTGGTTAAAATAGAACATCTAAAAACATGAATATAAAAGAATACAATACAGAAAAAAGAAAAAAAAAACGTCGTTTTTAAATCTCATTGATTATATATTGCTACAGATATGTTATCTGAACTTAAAACAGAATCCCCCCCCAAAAAAAAAAAAAAAAAAAACAAAGATGAATATATAAGAATAAAATCAAGAAAAATTGTCCAAAAAGCGTCGTTTTTCCCCCCCAGATGTTAACGAGTGTGCGAGCAGGAGCGACCTCTGTGCCCCTGGGGTAACCTGCGTCAACACACCGGGGAGTTACCGGTGTACGTGTGAGGATTGTGAAGGTGAGAGGATACCCAGGGTGGTATGGTGAGTCGGGAGGATTGTATACAGTCACTATCTCAGTGTGGATGTTATTGTTATCTGTTTTAATTGTTAAGAAACGTTTTTTATTGATAGATTATGAAACGTTTTTATCCCACAGGGTATTTACCGTTAATGACCTTAGCTGTTGACCCAATAGGTAATTCTAGATAAGCAGTCAATAGTCTATCAGTTGGATATTTAGATGCATGGTGAGGCAGAAGGATTATACTCTATGGATGCATCATCTGTGTGGGTATGTGGATGTATGGTGAGTTAAGACTGCGTTTTATGGAGGCACCTTCTGAGCGTGGATATTTGGATATATGGTGAGCTGGAAGGCCTGGGTTGTATGAAGCCACCATATAAGTATGGATATTTTGATGTGTGGCGAAGGAGAGGAAATGCACTGTAAGTATGAAGTATGAATCTCAGTGTGGATAGTTGAAGTGAATCATTCTCTTCAACCAACACAAGGCACACGGTGTATGGTCAGCTAGAACAACTACACTATAGAATCACCATCCCAGTGTGATTATTTGGATGTATGGTGAGGTAGGAATGCACTGTATGGTCATTATATTACTGGATAATTGGAGTGAATTATAACATGCACACACACACCACACACACACACACACACACACACACACACACACACACACACACACACACACACACACACACACCACACACACACACACACACACACACACACACACACACACACACACACACACACACACACACACACACACACACACACACACACACACACACACACACACACACACACACACACATACACACACACACTATGCAAATTTATTACAGTAAAAGAGGTGGTGAAAATACGTCAGTGAAAATAACTTATCAATCTCTTAAATTGCGTCTAACTTGTGCCTCTGAGATCATATCAAAGGATATAACCTGTTTAATTAGAAGAGAAATAGTTAAATGATTTTCCTTT